ATATCCAGGCTGGGTCCACCTATGGTGAGGTGGGGAGTGCGGTGTGCATAGGTGGACTCTTAGAGCCAAATATACTTATTGGTGGATAGTTACTCTATCTCTTCTGGAATCTCTGACAGTAAACAGTATGTTTATTCAAAAAGAGTTCAGGAGTTCCAGATATATGTGGCCCTGGTCTCCATTATGCCTTTCTTCCAGGTAAATGTGGTTTTAATGACCATATGTCAAATACCATTATAACACTGAAAACATTAAAATGGGGATTAAGGGGCTTGTCCTTGGGCTCAGGGCTACTTCTCAGGTAGGCTGGTAGAAGGTTGCAATGGGAGGGAGTCTTGGCAATGGTAAAGGAGGAGACCTGCAAAACCACCAGTTCTGGGACTAAGTCAAGGTCCCAAAGGGGTCAAGGGAGAGGATAAGGGAACGGCTGGAACAGAAAGGCCCGGGGTGGGAGAGATCAAATTAAAGGGAGAAGATGTACAGGACCTATTTCATGTTTTCTTATCACCTTCTTATATCTGCTTCCAAATCCATTATCTATTACCTTTTTAAATTCTTTTTATCTTGTGAAAGCTGACGGTGCTTACTGCTTTTCAAGAAAATCACTTTTTCTCCTTTTTAACCACCTTACTGGGATTATAATACTACCTGTTCTACAAATCACAGAGGACGTGTGAAAGCCAACAATATCAGGTGGGAATTTCTGGCATAGTGGTAGAAAGGTGGAGGGTAATGGAAGGAGCAAAGTTTTAGGGTTACAGACATCGTGTTCAGAATTCCGGTTCTATCACTAATTTGTGGTAAGACCTCATGCCAGTTACACACCTTCTCCAGGCTCAGTTTCCCCCTGACAGCAGCATCTAAACCTACAGAGCTGTGGAGTGTGCTGATTGAGGTCTCTTGTGTAAGGTGCCTGGTGGACTGCCTGGCCCATGCAGGTACTCAGTGTGCCCTTCCGTGCAAGGAACACAGGTCTAAAATTCAATTGAGGGGGAGATATGCAAGAGCTTGTGGTTGGTAGACAAATGTGTCTACTGGGCTTCCATACAGCTAAAAATAGCCAGAAGTCTGACTGGGAGTGTAGGTGAGAAGTACAGGACAAAGGGGCACAAATTAGCATTCGGCATTTTTTGTACCAACAATTTATAGCTCCCTTGAGGCAGGGGAAAGTGTCCCTGGATATCAACATTATGTGAAAAAATAAAACAGAAAGAAAGGATTTGTTTTCTTTCTTTCTTTTTTTTTTTTAAGACCTGAATCAAAAAAGGCAGGATCTCAGTTTTCAATGCTGTAAACAATAGGCAGACTTTTTGGCTAATTGGGTCAAATAAAAGCTCTGAGTTGGATGTATTCATTTCTGGTGCTGCAGGAAATGGTAGCAGGGAGCAGAAGGAGGGAGTTGCATTTGTTGAGCGCCTGATACCTGCCAGGCCCTGGGCTAGTTCTGAGGGCAAGACTGAAATGAAATCAGTCTACCCCCATCTAATATCTCCTAGGGACTTGTCTTTTCTATATCTCCCATACTTCACTCCGTTATGGTATCTCTGTGGGTGTGCTGCAGGTGAGGAGGAGGAGGAGAGGAGAGTTCTGCTCTGTGGGTAAAGGTAGTTCCACCTGAACACACTCAGAGAGTTAACATGGAGTACAGTCAGGGAAATGGAGCCACAATGCAAGAAGAAAACAAGTCTCATTTTTGATTTGTTGCTTCAATCCCTTCTCCCCTCTGACCTCTTTTTGGAAGTCTGCGAAGGGCAGGGGTAGGAAATGTTTTCACAGCACTACAGAGACCAAACAGAGTCCCATACCTCACACCATACACAAAAACTAATTCAAAATGGATCAAAGACCTAAATATAAAACTCCAAACTATAAAGATCATAGAAGAAAAAATAGGGACAACCTTAGGGGCCCTAATACATGGCATAAATACAATACAAACCATAACTAACAATGCATAATAAAACACCAGAAGATAAACTAGCTAACTGGGAGCCCCTAAAAATGAAACACTTATGCTCATCAAAAGATTTCATCAAAAGCATAAAAACAGAACCTACAGACTAGGAAAAAAAAATTGGCTATGACATATCCAACAAGGGTCTGATCGCTAAAAGTTATAGAATACCTCAACAACAAAAAAACAATTAATCCAATTAAAAATGGGCAAAGGATATGAACAGATGCTTCACCAAAGAAGACATTCAGGCAGCTAAAAGACACATCACATGAAGAAATGCTCGTGATCATGAGCCACTAGAGAAATGCAAATCAAAACTACAATGAAGATACCATCTCACCCCGACATGACTGGCACAAATTAAAAAAACAAAACAAAACAGAAAATAACAAATGTTGGAGAGGTTGTGGGGGGTATTGGAATCTTATGTACTGCTGGTGGGAATGTAAAATGGTACAACCACTTTGGAAAATGATATGGGACTTCCTTAAAAAGCTAGAAATAGAAATATCATACGATCCAGCAATCCCACTCCTCGGAATATATCCTAGAGAAATAAGATCTGTCACATGAATAGAAATGTGCACACCCATGTTCACTGCAGCATTATTCACAATAGCAAAAAGAAGGAAACAACCTAAGTGCTGATCAACAGAAGAATGGATAAACAAATTATGGCACATACAATGGAATACTAAGCAATGATAAAGAACAATAATGAATCTGAGAAACATCTCATAACATGGATGAATCTGGAGGGCATTATGCTGAGTGAATGAGTCAATCACAAAAGGACAAATATTGTATAAGACTACTATCATAAGAACTCAATAAAAGGTTTACACACAGAAAAAACAATCGTTGATGGTTAAAGGGGAGGGGAGCAGTGGAGAGGGGAAATCACTAACTAGATGGACAAGTGTTAACTTTGGTGAAGCGAAAGACAACACACAATATACGGGAAGGCAGCACAACTTAACCAAGGCAAAGCCATAGAAGCTTCCTAGACACACCTAAACGCTTTGAGGGACTGAGTTACTGGGGCTCAAGGCTTGGGACCATGGTCCCCTGGGACATCTAGGTCAACTGGTATAATATAATTCATAAAGAAAATATTCTACATCCTACTTTGGTGAGTAGCGTCTGGGGTCTTAAAGGCTTGCGAGCGGCCATCTAAAATACATCTATTGGTCTCATCATGTTCAGAGCAAAGGAGAATGAAGAAAACCAAAGATACACAAGGAAAATATTAGTCCAAAGGACTAATGGACCACATGAACCACAGCCTACACTAGCCTGAGCCAAGAAGAACTAGATGGTGTCTGGCTACCATCACCAACCACCCTGACAGAGATCACAATAGAGGATCCTGGACAGAGCAGGAGAAAAATGTAGAACAAAATTCAAATTCACAAAAAAAGACTACACTTGTTGGTCTGACAGAGACTGGAGGAACCCCTGAGAGTATGGCCCTACTCTGCTAACTCAGAACTGAAACCACTGCCGAAGTCCACTTTTCAGCCAAAGATTAGACAGGCCTATAAAACAAACAATAATACACGTGAGGAACGTGTTTCTTAGTTCAATCAAGATTACGAGACCAAATGGGCATCACCTGCCCAAAATCAAAGACGAGAAGGCAGGAAGGGACGTCAAAACTGGACAAATGGACACAGGGAACCTGGGGTGGAAAAGGAAAGCGGGAGAGTGCTGACACGTTGCAGGGATTGCAACCAATGCCAAAAAACAATTTCTGTATAAACTTTTGAATGAAAAACTAATTTGCACTGTAAACTTTCACCTACAACACAATAAAATAAAATAAAAAACTTATAGAATCACATGAGAATGAAAATACATCTTACCAAAACCTTTGGGACACAGCAAAAGCCATGCTTCAGAGGTCAATTTATAGTAGACAAGCATGAACTCCGTAAAAACAAAACAAAACAGAAAACACTTGTTGTTGAGTGACTCCAATTCATGGCGACCCCATGTGTGTCAGAGTAAAACTGTGTTCCATAGGGTTTTCAATGGCTGATTTTTCAGAAGTAGACTGCCAGGCTTTTCAACTGAGGTGCCTCTTTGTGGACTTGAACCACCCACCTTTTGGTTAACAGCCAAGCACATTAACTGTTTGTTACCTCCCAGGGACTCCAGAGGGCTGTAAAATGCTCATACGAGCGCTGAGTGTTGCTGGGCTGAATTCAGGGAGACATTTGGTTGTCACCTGTATGCAGTCCAGGATTCTGCCGGCCGTGTAACAAAGCATCCACACACAGCTGAGACACGCTGATGGAGGCGTGCACACAGGCTTGGTGTGCAGGGTGGTGCCATCTGAATACGTACAGTTAAATATTTAAAACCAGTGCCCCTCTGGAGCTGGGGTGCTATATATAGCTTATTAAAGTCCAAAAGACATCCTGGGAAACAGTGAGAAATGCCTGATCTCAGACAAGCCGTGATAAGTAATAGTGGCAAAATAAGACTTTAATTCTGCTACTGCTACACTCAAACCAAGCTGTTTTTCTCCTCATACCTCAGTATCCCTTTCCACAGAGTAGAAGTACTAATGCTTGACCACTGGTCACATGGTTCGAAGGTTTTAATTCATAAGCCCTCCAAACTATCAAACACAACACTGCTGTGCATTCAAAGCTTGTCCCATGAGTATACAAACGAAATAACTGCTCTAGACGGCTGTTGCTATCTACAGGGGTTCTGAGGTTAGATCTAATTTGAGAAACATTAGCCCCTCGCTGACTGTCTCCATTCACAGGTATAACTTTAGCTGGAGTTTAACCGCAGGTATGAATGATTAATAGGTTAACTCATTCTTTAGAGGATCTGCATGGCATTCAAAGTGCATTCCCTGTGAAACTGGACACACTGCATTGAGCATTCAGAAAGAAAAGCTGGAAAGGAAAGACACATACATCCAAAGGCAAGAATGGACAAGTCTGGAAACCCAGCCCTGACACCAGCAGTGACCACAGAGGCGGACGTTCTACACGTAGTTGGGAGGAAAACGAGAGGCACCTACGTTTGGGTCTCAGGTCTGAGGCCTCCTGACCAGCGCCTTCCCTGGGAAAGTCAAGAGGGTCTGCCACATCCGAGTCGGGAGGAGGGTAGGGCGGGGGCGGAGGGAGCACTAACTGGGGCGGGCCCCGCGCCATGCCTCGGGGAGGCTTTTGTGGCACCTGCCGTCCAACACCTATGTGGAATCAATGGTGGTTACTTCAGAGGGTTAGGCTGACAAACACCTGGGCTTCAACAGAGGCACTGCCCTTACTCACAGCCACCAGAAACAGACATACTCATGCGTCATCATTTCACCTAAGACCATCCTATAGGGCCAACGGGGTGATATCTGTTCCCCGGGGCAGTCGTTTTTGACAGGCACAACTACATACATGCTGGGCTTTAAAATTACTTTTAAAAGCCCCTTAGACAGCCCCGTCAAGTTAAAGGAGGCTCGTTTCATTCACTTTAGTCTTTTTAAAGTTACAGATTTATTTGTTACCTTACTCTTGTTGCTTTTCTTTGTCCACTGACCTGCTAAGAATTGAATAACCATTAATTTAGCTTACCTCTTTTAAACCCACTTACACTTCCAACCTCTTTCATTGCTAAGAGTAAGAGTTTCCAAACTTTGTTTTGAAGAGGTTCTTCAGGACAGAGAGAGAGTTAGGGGGCAGTGTACCCCACTCCACTCTGCCTCCCTGGCAGACTGAGCTGCCTGTCTTTCATCTGTTCATACACTGGGGATCCATTTGCAATTTGACATGACAATGTTGTTCTTTGGCTACTATTTCTGAAAAATCAATTACTTGAGATTATAAATGATATGAATTACTAGTGTCATCAGTTCTGTTTACTTTTCTTTCTTTTAAAAATGCTTTCGTCAAGCTTTAAAGTTTAGACTCTTCTAATAAGCGATGGAGTCTGTGCTTCAAGCCCTTCATCAGACAATTAACAGAAATAGTAAGAAACACCAGTCCTTCATCAAGAGACATATCCATTTATTCCTTCACTTGGTGACCGTTCTCTAGACATAGAAAAATATTAATTTCCCCAAATCTACATATTAGTTTATTCTCCAAAGCTGTATCTCCAAAGTGCAAATAAGTGAGATAAGCCTGGTTGGGTGCCGTCTGTTGGGTAAAAGTATAACCTGAGGAGGCACCCTCCTAGAGCAAGACTGATTCCACAAGGTCATATGAAGAACAGCCTCCCGACTTGAAGTCTTATTGTTGATTAGCAAGAAATCTGGGTCAAGACCCATATCCAGCTGGCTACAATACTACTTAATTGCAAGTTCTGAAACAAACGTTTCTCTTTACATCTAGGTAGCTGAAGATGCCCAACATTATTTGTGGATATGGGCTACTATTGTTTTTTTTTTTTCTTTCTTAACCTAAAGGCCTAGATTTTGATTAAAAGTAAATTCTGCTTGTGGTGCTATTAAAGTACTTTTAATTTGGAAGGATTTCTGATAGGATGAAAATCTGACTTGGAACTGCCACCAAACCTTCTCTACAGTCCTTGTGCTCAAAAAATATCCAGAATTTTTTTTCAGTAGGAAAGGAGCTTCTGGCCTCCTCAGTTCTCTCAAAGGATATTTTAGGGGTTAGAGAGAAGGACTTGTGGTGAATTACCATCTATACCTCCTTCTTTTAACATATACCTGACTGAGGTAGCAAGCGAATTATTCCTACAATTTTCAATTAAAAAAAGAGAAAACCCACATCCCTTTTCCTCTTACACCTGGGTGTGGCAGCTGGGACTCAGTCTTTTACAAGCTGAATCAGGAGGCCCTTCCCCAGGTTGAAGTGGGCTGTTAGCACCTGGAGGTTGGCATGACTCCACCATACCCATACTGCCAGTTTAAGCGGATACTTCTCAGAAATCTGAAGGTTTAGTTGCTCTAGAAAAAGAGTAAGGGAAGGGGTGCGAAGGAAAATGGGAGGGTCTTATCATAAAACAGGAGAAAAATAAGGTTATTTAAATGATCTACCGATAATGTTTTCTTTAAACCTGATAATATTTTCCTTCGGGAAAAAAGATGGACAGATATGAGATATAGGTTATTACTCCTTAGGATAATGGATCCCCAGGCTGTGAAATGCTAAGACATTAAAACTACAGTATTGACTAAGGGGGGAAAAATTGCTGACAAAAGTCTAGTAGCTCTTATTAGTTTTAGATCCTGACAATGCAACCACTTATTCCTGGGAGGAGATTCTCTTCTGGGGCCACAGCCGTCAGGCTGAAGGCAGAACACGGGTGCTCCTGAGTGTATTAGATTGCATTGTGATTGACTGTCTTAATTGCTTGACTAATGAGTTCTGATGCACTTTGGGTGCACTGGGGGATTGTCTCCGGTTATGAGTGCTTGAATCCTAAGCTGCCATTTTTGTAACTCCTCTTCAACAACCCTTTCTGTTCATCAGTGACATAATGAACACTGAATTTCCTTAAAGTAGTATTAGCCATCCCCAGCTTGTGGATCTAGAGAGATCTGTCAATAGTCTCTCTCCACCCTGCCTGTAAAACGACAGTGAGGAAACAATGATCTAATAGGCTTCTTTCTACTCAAAGATATTCCACCCTCTTTTCTTTGGGTTTTCTTTTTCTCATAGACTACCAAAGTCTTTGCTAAATATATAAAAGGTACATAAATGGAGATCAATTTCAAACATGGTGGTCAAAAAATTACTGAACTGTAGTTACCTGCTCCATAAATCTCCAGGGGGCCTAAAATACCACTCTCTCCCAGATATCTTTCAAAACAACGTCCTCAGATATCATCTTGAGAACATGTCCCTTTTCAATCAGAGGCAAACAAGTCACACATTCACACTCACTCCGTCTCCATTTCCACCCCCTCCCCAGTTTCTTTCCCCATTCTCCTCCCTCCCTCCTCCGCCCCACCTCCTAAATCCACACAATGCCTGTAAAACATTGCTGTATTAAGTGAACTCTCAACTGTCTACTTCCAGACTTTCTTTCTTCAGCGTTAGGTTAATGACGTTATGGAGTGAGGCCACTGCAAGAGTTACCACAGTGCTAAATACCATGCCGGGGAGCATGCGCCAGACCATGCAGGCAGCTCTCCAGAGTTCACTCACCCATGGTGCTCTTCCTCTTCTCCTCTAGGTCTTCCTCCTCCGTGCGGCTGGGTACCAGGGGGCTTGGCGGTGGTGGCTGTGGCGGAGGGGGAGCTGGTGCCTGCCTCTTCTTTTTCTGTAAATCAATCTGGGACCCCAGGGAAACCTATGAAGCACAAAGAAGGAAAAGAGTGTCAGGGTGACTCTGTTTGGGGAATGTGTGCAGGTGGAGCATAAAAGTTACAGAAGCTGGCTCAGTGTCAGTGGCTGCGAAGAGGGCTGTCGGGTTGTCAGCCCACTTTCGGGGGTACTTGGAGGCGGGCAGTGGAAACAGTGGTGCGAGGGTCCCATAGATGTCCCAGGAACACCCATGAGGTGGCAAAATGAATGTTTGTGGACAACCCCAAAATTCCCATTAGACTGGGAGCTGGGGTTGGCCCCATTTTGTCTAGGGACTCCAGGCCAATCTGGAGACTTGAGTAAGCTTCCCATCAGCATAAATATGAGAAACGGAATCTTTAGCCCTTAATTAAATGCAAAAGGGAACTATTCCTTCTAGGAGCTTTATCAAGGGCTACCATGATTTGCGTCTATGCCATGGGGGGAGAGTGGGGGGGCAGGAGAGGGGTGTGCTCAGACCTCACCCTTGCCCTGACCTATGTTGTATATTGCTTCGGGATGTGCCAGGGTAACTAATCCTCAACAGGCTAACCACACCACTGGATCTAGAATTGTAAGGAAGTTTATCAGTACATGGGATATTACATCAATAGATGGAACATCAATAGCCCATCCAGTACAGAAATCTAGCTTCTGCTTAAAAGGTTTTAACAATGAAAAATTCACAGCTTCTAAAAGCAGCTTGTCAACATTGGGCAAGTCTAACTATTGAAAGTAAAACTGGTTTTGCCTGTAAAATTGTACTGACGGATTCCAGTTCTTTGTTTCTGAAACATTGCCTAATTATCTTCTCTCTCATTATAGCCAAAGTTGTCATTTATTCACTCTCCTGTTGTTTAAAATTTATTTAAAAAGCTTCACATTATGCGCAGACTAGTGTCTATGAAAATAATGAAAATTACGACTACACTAGGTTCCTGTCCTCAAGGGCTTACAGCCACATCAAATGTCTAATCCAAATATTCCCTGGTCTCTCAACTGTTCACTGTGCAAATGGTGCTTACAAACAGCACCATCTTTATGGTGCTTCAGTTCTAATCTGGATGCTCTCTGACTCTGTGGCTCATGCTTACAGCATGTACCCCAAAACAGAGTTCCACTTAGTAAGTAAGATGACTTCTTCTTCTGGGCTGGACACAATATTTCATACACATATGTATGTATGAGTGTGTGTGCAAAAATCTCTGTTTTATTTTATCAGGAATATGTATTTATTGTATAAAATTAAAAGAAATAATAAAAGCAAAAGGCAGAAAATCTCACTTTCAAAATTAACACCCAGAATAAATTACTAACAGCATATATATTTCTTGTCTTTACATTTATCTTTAGCTATATTTATATTTATTTTTTAAATGATTTTTTTATATCCATCAACTATAATACATTAGAACCACCTCCTACCTTTAAAATTCTTCTATATTTTAAGTACAATGTGGACATAAAAAGTCAAATAGTACTACAAAGCTCATAGTCAAAATCAGCAGCTGCATGTCCCCCACCCCCACCCCAGCAGCAACCACTTTAAACTATATTTTGCTGTTGGCATTTACTCCATTTTTCTAAGTACGGACCATATTCTGCTATTTCTTGATTTTCCAATTTTAGATATGATTTATTGGCTTCCTACAATAGGAGACAAGGATTTAGTTCTTTGAGATACACACATTCACACAAGACACACACACACTCTCTTTGTCCCGCATCTTCCCAAATAATTATGGCACAGGATTTAGTTAAATTATCATTCACTGGTAAGTTATACATATATGGTCAAACATAGAATCATTACACCAAACTTTTCTTCAACAGGAATGTTCTCCAATGGAGATACACAGTGTGTGTAAACCTCTCCAGTCCAAATGATCACATTTTCTTTCTAGATTGACTTCTGATTTTCCCTGAATTTGTTTTTCTTTGCTTAGTTTTTCTAACTGAATTTCCTAGAAATGCCTTTTTCCTCTACTTATTCTTTCTTGGATATATGCCTTTTTCCCCCTTTGAATCACTTCTTCATTTTAGTGGAACACACAATCTCCAGCAGCTTTCTGAGACAAGATGCATGAGGCGTAAATTTTTGAGATCTTCCTTAAAAATATAAAAATGTAATAGATTTAACCTATTGCATTGAAAAGCCAGTATAGATGTCAATGGAAATCTACACTGGAAATAACTTTCTTTCAAAACGTTAAGCCATTGCTCCATCACCTATTATTCAACTGTGTAGTTTAGACACTTAATGCCATTCCGATCATCCATCTTCTATACGTGGTCTATTTCTCTTTGCAGGCTTTGAGGCTCTTTTCTTTCCCTTTAAAAACCAGTTGCCTATCAGATATGACAACAAAAGCATAAGCAGCAAAAGAAAACAGGTAAATAGGACCTCTTAAAAATTACATACTTTGGTTTATCGAAGGACTCTATGAAAAAAAGTGAAAATACAGCCTACAGATTGGGAGAAAATTTTCAGGAACCATACATAAGTTAGGCTCTAATATCCAAATATGAAAAACTCCCACAACAAAGAGGCACACAACCTAATTAAAAAAAAAAAAAAAAAAAAAAAACAGGCAAAGGACATGAACAGACATTTCACCAAAGAGGATACTCACATGGCCAACAAGCACACGAAAAGATGCTCAGCGACACTAGCCATTAGGAAGATGCAAATCAAAACCACAATGTGACACCAATTCATTCCCATTAGAATGGCAATGATTAAAAAAAAAAAAAAAGCAGCAAGCGTTGATGAAGTTGTGGAGAAACTGGAACCCTCACCCATTGCTGGTAAGAATGTAAAATGGTGTAGCCACTGTGGAAACAGTTTGGCAGTTCCTCAAAAAGTTGAACATAGAACTACCGTATGACCCAGCAATTCCAATTCTAGGTATATAACCAGAAGACGTGAAAGCAGGAACACAAACAGAAATCTGTACACCAATGTTCACTGCAGTACTTTTCACAATAGCCAAATGTGGAAACAACCTAAATGTCCATCAGATGAATGGATAAACAAAACATGATATATACACACAATGGAATAGTACTCAGCCATAAAGAGAAAGGAAATCCTGATACGTGCCACAACATGGATTGAGCCTGAAAACATTATATTGTGTGAAATACGTCACTTGCAAAAGGACAAACACTACATGATCTTCTTTAAATGAAATAAGCAAATACACAGAAATCAAAGATTATTAGTGGTTTCCAGGATGAGAGGGAGGGGGAAAGAAGGAGTTTTTGTTTAGGGGGTACTGAGTTTATGTTAATGGTGATGGAATAATTTGGAAAAGGATGGTTGCACAACTTGAAGAATGTAATCAATGTCACTGAATTATTCATGTAGTAATTGTAGAATTGGTATGTTTTGTTGTGTGTATTTTCACCATAATAGAAAACAAAAACAGTCGCCATCAAGTTGATTCTGAGTCAGGGCGACCCCATGTGTATCAGAGTAGAACTGTGACCCATAGAGTTTTCAATGGCTGATTTTTCAAAAGTAGATGGTTAACTCTTTCTTCCAAGGCACCTCTGTGTGGACTTGAACCTCCAACCTATCAGCCAGCAGCAGAGCTCATTAACAGTTTGAACAACCCAAGGACTCCCTTCTCCTCAGTACCTGAAAACGCTTCATGATGGCATGTCATAGGGTGGGTCTCTTCATCTGTTGTCTGGGCCATACCTCGAACCCTTACAATTTGTATATCTTTTAATTCTGGGAAAACTTCTAGTGTGATTTCCTTCATATTTTTCTTCCTTCTGTTTTCTCTTTTTCTTCTCTCACTGGGATTCCAAGCAGTTGAACACTGAGGGTTCTAAATGGATTGTCTAATTTTTCTCAAGTATTCTCGCCTACATTTTGCTGATTTTTCCTTCTTTCTTGGAATTTCTTTTACTTCATTGTCCAACTGACTCTTCTGAATTTCTGAAAATTTCTTACCACATTTTTAATTTCCAAGAACTCTTTCTTGTTATGTATATTTTTGGTAACATCATGATCCTGTTTTCTGGATGCAATGCTTTCTCTTAAATCTCTGAGGCTATTATTTACGTATTTTTTTTAAGTTTTAAAAAAATTTCATTTTCTTCTGCTTTATGTGTTGTCTCTTTTCCCTTCAAGGTTCTTTTTTCTATTTCTCTTGCCCTATTTCTTCATGTTTTGACCTTTCCTTAAATTTCTGGTGGTCTTCGGCCAATTTTTTTAAATTTTATTTATTTATTCTTGTTGTTGAGAATACACACAGCAAAGCATACACCAATTCAAAAGTTTCTATATGTACAATTTAGTGACATTGATTACATTCTTTGAGTTATATAACCATTCTCATCCTCCTTTTCTGAGTTGTTCTTCCCCCATTAACATAAACTCATTGACCCCTAAGGTTTCTATCTAATCTTTCAAGTTGCTGTTGTCAGTTTGATCCCATACAGATAGCTCTTAAAAGAGTATAATACTCAAGGCAGATATTCTTATTAGCTAAAAAAACAAACAAACAAACCCGTTGCTGTCGAGTCGATTCTAACTCATAGCGACCCTATAGGACAGGGTAGAACTGCCCCACATGGTTTCCAAGGAGTGGCTGGTGGATTTGAACTTCTGGCCTTTTGGTTAGCAGCCTTAGCTCTTACCCACTATGCCATCAGGGTTTCCATTCTTATTAGTTAGGCTAAACTATTTGGTATTAAGAAGACTTTGGGGGATATTTTTGATTTAAAGTTTAAAGATTATCTCAGGGTTACAGTTTCAGGGATCATCCGCCCTACATGGCTGGAGTCTATGAGAATTTGTAAATTCTGTTCTGCACTTTCCCCCTTTTGATCAGGATTCTGCTATAGAATCCTATTCAAAATGTTCAGTAATGATAGCCAGGCACCATTCAGTTCTTCTGGTTTCATGGCAAAGGAGGCAGTTGTTCATAGAGGCAATGGCCACACATTCCATATCCTCCTCCTAATCCTGACTCTCTGTTTTCCTCTCTTGTT